TCCACGAAATTACAATTCTCTCATTTTCATGAAGTAGAATATGCCCCATTGGTATTTCAATTCCTTGGTTTTTAGGAAGAAAAAAAAAAGATTACTTCGAGAGAAAATTACACCTCTATTTTTTAACCTAAAATTGATGTCTAACATCTCCCAATGGATTGCATAAAAATTAATTACAATATGTACAATTCAAGAGATATTGTAAATGAGTGGTATTTGAATACGTTTTATTTTTTGGTGTTTGAATATGCAGATTGGTCCCAGAGATACTTATCATTTAAGATTAAGATTAAGATTAATAGTAATAATATAAGTATGAGGACTTTATACTATTTATTCCATTTCAATTCTCATGTATACCAAACATTCGAATTGAAATTCTCTGCAATTCCTTTCTTCAAACAAAACACTGAAATTTAAATTATCACTTTATTCTGACATTATATTATTCCTCCCCCATGAAATTGAAATCATTTTCCCTTATAATTCCTTAACTCCAACCAAACACCAGTACCTGTCTCAAAGCGCTATGACACCTTAGCGAGATGATATGTTGTCTATATACAACTTTCTTCTAAATGTTCTGTCGGGTTGGGACATAAGGAATCCTTGGGGGATTCAACAGGCCGGGAACAATGTTACCCATATACACACGTGACTGATCTTGTAATAGAGTCAGTAGTATTAAAAATAATAATAATAATAATTTCCGTCATTAGGGGGTTGGTTTTAGGAAAATAACGGTTGAATGGAGAGGATAATGATAATATTAGAAACAGTTGACCCACCAACTCCTACTCAGCTCCTTATAGATATGATTAAAAACCAGTGGAAAAATATATGTAATTTCGTATACTTTATTTATTTATATTATTATTATAAATTAAATATCTAACCCTTGAAGTATTTGGCTAAAATATAAATTTTAAATTGTATAACATATTTTAACTTATTTAATTCAATAATTCCTAAATAAATATTAGAAGATTATGAATTACTTACCTTCCACATATAATCAATCATAGGCTTATTGGTTTAAAAAATCAAATTGAAAATTAATTATATCCAACTATTTAAAATTTAATAATTGAATATCAATTATAAATTGTATAGCACATTTTAACTTATCTTTTTTTTTTTTTTTTTGAAAGCACATTTTAACTTATCTATTTCAAACTTTCTTTAATAAATAAAATTTTAAAGATTATTAATTACTTACAATTTATACACAATCATAAATCTTATTGATCCAAGAAACTTGTAGTCTAATGGCACCAAATTGATTCCTTATAAAGAAGGTTATGGGATCGAGCCTTAGCTCTTTGTACTTCAATTAATTGAGAAAGTAGTTATGAACAGATACTGCATTGTAATAGAGTGAGTAGTATTAAAAAATTAATAATCATAAATCTTATTCATAATTTTTGTTTTCTAAACATTTATGTCTTGTAACAATTATATTCAAACATTTAATATATTTATATTTTATAAAAATTTATATCTAATTACACACAAAAATTATATTCAAAAATTTAAAATTTAGAATTTATATATATATATATATATATATATATATATATATATATATATATATCATATCTTGTAATAATTATTATATTCAACTGAAGAAAATTCTAATCTAACTTTACCTTGTTGAATTGTCTTGGCTATTAGTAAGTTTAGGGTTAGAGATTATAATTACACAATGCAAAATTTTGATATTAAATTACCAATTCTTAAAAAATTATAATTATCACATAGTATAGAGATTTAAGAACTATTAATGTAACTACAAGGTTGGAAGTTTAACTCCTATAAAGAGTAACATGTTAAAGAGTTCTAAGTCAAACTTTGTCAGCACGATTCAGACCGAATCTTAATTAGTCTCACAATGCAAAGTATATCGTGGACCTTGATATAGGCTCATTTATAATATACTACATGTTCATTTTTATTATATTACTGTATATTTATTATATTTTGATACATGTTCATTTTTAGAGTATTGAAGGTTCATTCTCAGTATATTACATGTGCATTTTTAGTGTCGTATTACAGATCAAAATTAACCCATAGTATACTAAAAATGAACTTGTATCAAGTATTCAGGTCATCCTGCAATATAAACGCCAATCTAGCATATAACAATGATTGAGATCCCATCCTACCAAATGCGGTATGCAAAAAGTATAGAGATCTAAGAACATTTTATTAGCAATAAAGTAGCCTAATCATAAATTATAAGCTAGTTGGGTAATGAATACTGTAATACAAGCTAGCTAGCAAGTTTCTTTTCTTATTATAGCCACCTCATGAATCATAATGTCATGTTTTGGCAATTGACTATGCATAAATAATTAATAAATATTGTACAGTACAGTTGCAGGTAGGAGAAACAACATTAAATTCCACGGTAACACCCCATGAACCTATTAAATTCCAACCTTGTGGAGCCATTTCTCTCTCTCTCTAACCTCCTCACAAACTCCTTTTCCCAAAAATAATAAAAGTTTTGCTTTTAAATAAAAAGATTATAAAATAAAAATATATTAATAAATAAAGAGTTATTGTCACTTTTGGTCTCTTGACTATTATTCACTTATCATATTTGATCTCCAATTATTAATTTTGTCATATTTGGTGCACAAGTATGCTTTTGTTGCCATATTTAGTCATGCCGAGTGACCAAACCACTGGCAATCACTGCACACGTCAAAAAATGTAAATTTTCTCTCGTCTAGGGTTGCTATAAGGAAAATGTCGTATATTCAAATCTAAATCACAATACTATATACTAAAATTTACCTTTGTAATAATCCCAAATGAGAAAAAGTTTAAATTTTTCACCAAGTGATTGCTAGAGATTTTACCTACAGGATCAAATGTAGCAACAAAAGCATACTTGTTCACAAAAATGTGACAAAATTTACCTTTGCAGTAATTTCCAATGAGAAAAAAATATTAAATTTTTCACTAAGGGGGTGTTTGGTTCACTCCTAAAGTGGAGGAAAATGGCGTTTTATGTTGTTTGGTTGGATGGAAAACATTTTCCATTCGAAAAAGTTTTCCTTAAGAATGAGAGGAACTTTTTCCTATATGCTCATCCTAGGTATTTTATTTTCTATGGAAAAAGTTTTTCATGGATAACTAGTATGCCAATTTTGCCCTTACTATATTATTATTATTATTATTATTATTATTATTATTATTATTATTATTGTTATTGTTATTGTTATTGTTATTGTTATTGTTATTGTTATTGTTATTGTTATTGTTATTGTTATTGTTATTGTTATTGTTATTATTATTATTATTATTATTATTATTATTATTATTACCGTGTAGGGTTATATTTGTCATTATGCTCATTATTCCTTTCCATTTCAAACCTAACCAAACAATAGAATTCATATTCTCATAAATTTCTTTTCCACCAACCAAACAATGAAATCCATTTTTTTGAAATTTATTTTCCATAGAAATTTCAATACCATTCTTCTTCAAATAAATATTTTTTATCGAACCAAATGGGCTGTAAGTGATTGCTAGAGATTTGACCCGCAAGATCAAATGTAGCAACAAAATTATAATTGTTCACAAAAATGTAAATCAAAATTAATAATTAGGGATCAAATGTGTAAAGTGAATAATAGTTGGAGGTACAAAAGTAGCAATAACTCATAAATAAAATACCCAAGAATTGAAAAAGAACAAAGGAATCAGATAAAGACGCATGCATGTACATGGTTTGGAAAAGTGAGCATAAATTGGAAAAGCCGATGTTAAAAGTAAGAAAGTTTAGTAGAAAATAATCATACCATTCCACTCAAATAATTTATCTTTTCATAGAGTTATATGGCAAAATTACATTTTTTTTTTAATTTTCAGTTATATTTGATGTACAGACTTAGTTTCTGAGTTATATGTGTAATTATTTTTAACCCTTAAGTTATGTATAAAGTGGTGATTTTACTCCCTAGGGATTATTTCTACTACCAGTTTGTCGCTTAAAAGTGACTGATTTGGTCCTTCAAGGACTAAAATCACCACTTCATGCACAACCTAAGGGTTAAAAATGGTATAATCAGGCATATAACTCAGGGATTAAGTCTGTACCACAAGTATAACTGGAGGACTAAGAATACAATTTTTTGATCTCGAGTTATATTATGCATATCAGTTTTCTTGTCCAGTAGAGTTTATATCCTCGAACAAAACGACTAATTGCTAATGTTAAAACATGTCTCATTTTCTTCATTTCATTTTTTTTTCATTCCCATAAACAATATGTGACAAGAGTATGTATTACTCCTTGAAAGGTCTTACAAATATATCTTTTTTTTTTTTTTTTAATCCAATTCATATATACTTTCAGACATAATGACTAATTGTTACTATTAAAGCATTTAATTTCTTTTCATACTCGTAAACAATACGTGATAGGATTATTAATTACTCCTTGAAGGGGTCCTTACAATTTTTTCCTTTAATAAGTTTATAGATGGAGAAACTCTCCAACCCGGCCCCTCCATAATTAATTAATTAATTAATTAACTAATTAAAGTTTTTTTTTTTCTTTGGAATATGGGGGAATACATGAATAGAGGAATGGGGAATCTAGCACACAAGAAAGCATATAATTGAATGGGGTCTTAATTAATTGCTAGCTACTTGTTTTTGGATACAAATGAAAGAGGCAATTCTCAAGGGGCATGGCCCCCCTAAAAGGAGTCACTACCTTGAGGCATGTCTTGCAATTATGGCCAACAAGTGGTCTTTGCTCTTGTTTGGTACCAAAAGTAATGAAACCTAACATGACCAAATCTCATCTCTCTCCCTCTCTTCATCCTTTGAACCAGCAAAAACAAGTCAAGTTTACAAGATTTTTCAACTTATAAAAAACTTCGAAGTAATATCTATGCCACTATTTTTCTCATTCCACATATATCGGTATCAGCTTGAAATTCAAAATGTTCCACATTCATTTTCAAAACTCTAAGGGGGTGTTTGGTAAATAGTTGTTGGCTGATAACTGTTAGCTAATTGGGTTAGTCGGTTTCATTAGTTGATAGTATTGACTGATTGTATAAAGGTGTTTGGTAAATTAGATGTTAATTAGCTGATAGATGCAAAATGACTTTCTCAAAAAGCTAAT